GAGGGGTGTGGGCTCTGGGAGGAAGTTTGGGTGTGGGCTCTGTGCAGGGGCAGGAGGTTGGGGTGCAGGAGGGGTCGGGGGCGGTGCTTACCTTGAGTGGCACAGCTCCCAAAGTGACTGGCACATCCGTCTGGTGGTGGCTCCTAGGTGAGGGCGGGCCAGGGGGGTCTCTGCATGCTGCTGCACGCAGGTGTCGCCCCTGCAGCTCACATTGGCCGCAGTTCCCGGCCAATGGGAGCTGCGGAGTCGACACTCAGGGCGGGGGCAATGCGTGGAGACACCCTCCCCAGGGGCCGCAGGGACATGCCGGCTGCTTCTGGGAGCGGCGCAGCGCAGAGGGAGGCAGGCAGCATGGGTAGGGAGCCACTTTAGCCCTTGTGGGAAGGGGACAGCGGGACTCTGTGCACTGCCTGGGGTGGGGGCAGCATGCAGAGGCACCTCCCCCCTGCCAGGGGCACGCAGAGATGTGCCAGCAGCCGGCCGCTTCTGGGAGCGGTGCGGGGCCACCGGCCATAGAATGCAGCCTGCCTACCTGAGCCCTGCTGCGCCGCCGCCTGGGACTCGGGGGCAGGTTGTCAGATGAGATTTGTCCTGCATTTTGGGGGCCCCCCCGTCATTGGGGGCCCTGGGCCACCACACTGTTTGTTTCATGGTAAACCCGCCTCTGGGTTTGTGTGTCTTCCTTTAACACAATTCTCTCTGTGTTCTTATTTGGCCCACCTCAATGTAGTTGTAGGAGTACCTACAGAGAGTGGAACGTGGCTCAGTCATTGTATACTTTCTATTCCCCAGTTAAGCTCCTCATAATGAATGAGCGGTGTCAGGGAAAGAAGCATGTTGCAAGCCTGAATAATGAAGGCAGGAAGTTTGTTCTGTAATTGGATTAGTTCTGCTGGGAACGTACTTTGTCTTGTATCTTTGTCAGTCCTGGGCTGGCAGCTGGCCCCAGAGCCACGTGCAGCATTATCTGGAAGCCACCCAAACAGAGGGAGTAAGAGCACGAGGCCAAACACGAATACTTGGTGGAGTTCACTAACTGAGGAATAGCTAGCCTTCTAAAAAAGAATGGTCATACAATAGCCAGTTTTACCAGAGTGATTTTTGAAATTCCACTTCCTGTTTGCTCCGTGTGGACAGTTCACATTGCATCTTCCCAGCTGACCATGGTGGCTCCATGCAGCAAATGCTCTCCTGCTTGGAGTACGCCTGAGTTATTGGATCTGCTGGCACTGTGGGGGGAGGAGGCTGCGCAGTCCAGCTCTGCTCCAGCCATAGGGACTTAGATACCTACGGTCAGACTTCTCATGGCATGTTGGAGAAAGGCTATGAACTGGACACACATCAGTGCCACGCGAAGATAAAAGACCTGAGGCAGGCGTACCAGAAGGCAAGGAAGTAAAACCATCGCTCTGGTGCGGTGATGAATATTCAACCCTCACAAGAAGGACCAGGTGTCTGTGGTGAGTCACTTGCTAATGGGGTCTGCATGGGGCTGGAGCCAATGGTGAATGGGGCCACCAGGACTGAGGGTCATGGGGCAGGGCTCCAGCTCTGCTAGAGGGACGGGGAGGAAAATGGGAGAGAGAAGGGAATGGGAAGGGTCAGGATTAGAGCAGATGGCCAGGCTGAAGGGGCAATAGGAAAGGTCAGCACCAGGGCAGGGGACAGAGGATGTGGAGGCTCTGGGTTGGTGGTGGTGTTGTGAGGACAGGGCTTGGTTTGAATTTAGTGGACTCTTATGGGTTAGGTTGACAGTACAGAATGTGCCATTCTCTGGGTTCACCTACGTTTGAAAGGAATTTTGGATGAATTTGAGGTTTTTCCGGACAAACAGGACTGATAAACTTCGGGAAGAACCCAAATTTTCTGAATTATCTGGTGTCTCATTCCATATTGATGCCACCGCTTTGGAAGCTCATTCACTCAAATTCAGAAGGCATCATTGAGCAGTGGGGTAAGCGAGGCTGCATCTTCTGTGCATGGTGGCATTGGGACGGCCTGCAGGAGAAGGTAAAGAGCTGAGGTCAGAGATCTGGCTCTATTCCTGTTTTTCCCCCTGTATGACCCTGGGACAGTCCCTTTGTCATGCTGTTCTATGCAGTGGGGATAAAGCCGCTTAGCAGCCTGTCAGGGGCTGCACACATTGTGCCTGGCAGGACGCTGGGCAGCCCAGTGGACAGAGTCACCAGCCATTAACGAATCCATAGGTGAAGTGTAAGTGAGTGCACATATGCATTCGCCAGCAGGGTTGCTAGCTTTTGCCATTTCATAGATTCCAAGACCACAAGGGACCGTTGTAATCATCTGGTCCAGTGGTGTGCAAACTTTTCCAGTCAGCCCCCCCACCAATAACAGAATCTGTCTGCGCTCCTCCTCCAATACTGCACAGCCAAGGCTTTCTCAGCGGCGGAGCTGGGGGTAGAACTGGGGATGCGGGAGGAGCTGGGGCTAGAGGCGGAGCTGGGCTCAGGGCAGAGAGGGAATGAGGGCAGAGCTGGGCTGGGGGCAGAGCAGGGGGTAGAGTGGAGCTGGAGGCAGATCTGGCCTGAAGGCGGAGCAGGACTGGGGGCTGAACAGGGTTGAGGGTTGGAGCTGGTCTGGGCGCGGAGCAAGGTTGGAAGTGTGGCGCTCCCTCCCTGCCCCCCTATGGGGGCTGGCCTTGCTCCCACTGTGCACCCCCCCAAACATTCCTCCATGACACCCTAGCGGGGCGCACACACAGTTTGGGGACCACTGATCTAGTCTGATCTCCTGTGTAACACACAGGGCCGGCTTTAAGCCGATTCGGCCGATTCCCCGGAATGGGGCCCCGCACCTAAGAGGGCCCCGCAACATCCAGGGCTGCTGGCGGAGCGGGAAAAAAAAAAAAAAAAGCTGCGTCCTGCTTCTCCCCCCTCCCTCCAGCGCTTGCGCCGCCATACAGCTGATCAGCGCAAGCCTGGGAGGGAGGGGTGAGGAGGAGGAATGCGGCATGCTCGGGGAAGATGCGGGGCCA